ATTTCTTCCCAGAAAAACCAAATCACTGGACACGCCCAAAGCATATGTTTAAAGGACATGTCCTGTGAGTTATGGCAACAATTAGACACTTTCCTCAATCCTTTGCTAAAAAGTTGCTGTGGTATCAAGTATATCCTAAACATAAGTTTTTGCTGAATAAGTTTCAATTTGAAGTTCATGGAAAGAGCAGGTATAAACTTTAAGGCCATACCCAATTGCTTTGGCAAAACAGGTACCGTACATCTAGCTCCTTATTCCATTCATTTCTGAGACTCTGTATATCATATTTATTAAATGACATCAAATACTTATAAATGAATATTGTAGTTTCGTTTTCTGCCTTGATTCAATTATACTTTCCAGGAACAAAAGAGATTGAGGCATTTACTACTGCAGGGCCAGATTTAGATACCAACAAATGCTGCAAGTTGCAACTGTAAACACTGCCATTCTACAGAATGTGGCAGATCATATTTAGACTTTTGGAATTTTAAGTGGGCGGGGAACCAGAATCAGGGCTTTTTCAGTGATGGCACCTTGCCTATGGAATGGCCTTCCTCTTGAAGCTTACCTAGCACTTATGCTACTCTCTTTTAGGCACCAGGCCAAAACCTTAATTATAACCCAAGTTTGCAATTAAGGGTTTGATTTTTAATGCCATTTTTATGGTCTGCTTTTTAGTCTGAAAACTCTTTAAAATTCATTTAAAGCTGCTTAATGTCACAGTTCTATGTGAGTTCTGGCTCAGTCTTGACTAAACGTTTATGGCAATGTGATGTTTTAATTGTTTTATTTTGTAAGCTGCCTCAGGCAGGTTCCCTAGAAAAGTGGCATAAATGCACTAAATAAATAAGTCAAACTTAGATTTAGCATATTTATAAATTGTGATTTATGACTGATCTTAATTCAATCCATTTTCATCTGGGAGATACTGTCTTCTTAAGACCATCAGTGAATAGTTCCCCTTACTTTTTTCTAGCTTGTTTTACACAAAGACATCCTTTAGGAAGCTTCTTTTTTCTAGGCTTCCTGGCTCTTTCCTTTGCTACTGCATGGACTTTATCTGTCCTTCTTGTCACATAATTCAGATTTCCAGCAAAGCTTTTAATCTACACAATCAGTTACCAGAAAAGGTGGTACCAATCACACCAGAATTCTCCATGTTCTCCATCCAAGAACTGCATGTTGTGAATCCCATTTTTACCTTCAAGTGTAACTTATCAAGCTTTTTAAAAAAGTATTACCTGACCCAAATGCCTAATATCTAACAAAATATATACTCCCCCATATGTCTGTTCCTCAATACTTTGCATTTCCCTCAAGATACCAATAATCATTTATTCACAACTACAGTATACCGAAACAATACTTTTTTTAATCTCAGAAGCATACCGAGTAAAGTTGGTTATTACAAACCCCCACATAAATGTATTTATTTACAAAATGTATATCCTTCCTTTCTGCCCTTACAAGGGCCTCCAAGGCAGCTAACAATTTAAAACATACTTCATAAAATTACATTATAAAACCATTAAAATTAACTGACCCTCCCAAACATACCTCATTAAAACAACTTTAAAAAGTGTTAAAAATAGAGTTAAAATACATACAAAATAAAAACATTGGTTAGGAAGGGGGGATCACTGAGAAAATGCCAAATGAAACAAAGAAGTCTTCACCTGGCTGGCAGAAGACAGCAACACAAGGGGGCAAATTAATCTCCCTGGGGAGAAGGTTCCAGAGCTTTAGTGCCACCACCTCTCCTGGGATGCTATTCACCTAAACTCAGAAGGCAGGGGCACCCAATGCAGGGCCTCTAAAGATGACCATAAAAGCAGGGTGGGTTTGTAAGGGATTAGGTGTCCTTCAGATATGTTGGTCCCAAGCCACAGGGGCCTTTGAAGGTCAAGACCTCGAATTGTGCCCGGGAACAACCTGGAAGCCAGAATAGATGGGCTAAGACTGGAATGGACAGTTCCCTATGACCCAATTCAGAATGGGATTTAATTATGTCATAATTTTTTTCTGGCTTTGCATATTATCACTATCCGTGGTATTTACTTAGCACTTTGAATGTGGAAAGTGCCTTATGATCTTCATCTTTTTTTGTCCTTTGAAGCAGATAATTATCTGCACTGCAAATATGGGAAATCGTGTCTGAGAGTCACCAAAATTGGTATGATGATGCAGATGGATCCATTATTCAGAACTTCACTGGAGGCCTTAGGCAAGTCACCTTTGGCCTAACCTGTCACAGGATTTTTCACAAGGATTCAAATGTATCAGTAAATAAAAACAGACAAAAATGATAGAAGACACAAGTCTACACAATATTTGGCAGGTTTATACAGCATGCGGTGGGAACAGTAACACACAGTGGCCAAAATAGAGCTTGGATTGTACTTTTCCTGCTAACGAGGAGCAGTAATTTCACTGTAAAGATTAATATTCTTCTTCAGCCCTTCGACTGACAGGCAAGGTTCTGATTCTGCCTCTAATGCAGTACGAGCTCTGTTCTGCAACCCCATCAATAATGGATTCGAAACAACACCTATTCTGTTGTTACAATAGCCCCTCAATCAAATATTTATCACTTTTCCAAAGGTTTCTACATTTAAACAATATTTTGGCAGTGTTATTGAATACAAATGGAATAGAGTTTAAATGTCACACACCAGAGAGCTCCAAGGTAATTAACTAGTAACAGTCTTTGCAATAAATACAAAATAAAATATAGTTATATGCAAGGTCTGCAGGAACAAGACAAAGACAGGAAAGCAACAGAGAGGTATCAACGCTTTTCTTCAAATTAAGAAGGATTCTCAGCAAAAAAAACCCCAACCCATAAAACATAGAAAATACTATAACATGTCTGAGCCCAGCACAAGCTAGTCTATTAGCTATTTTTTTTTAATCTATCGCTAGCTGGATTGTGACTTTGTAAGATGCTGTGGCTTGGAAAATAATAGTACAACTTTTTAAAGTAAAATTTTAAAAACAATCTGTCCTCTGCAGTTTATGCTGTTTGTGGCTGTTTTCATGGGAACAACTAATTTATTAGTTTATATACTGGTGCATTTCTCAAAGTAACACATAGCTAAGGACTGCCTGGAATCCAACCACTGTGGATTGTGGCAGACCTGCCTATCACCATGAATGGAAGTACATCTCTTAGCAGGGAAGAATTTCATCCTGGGCATGGAACAGGGTTCACTGGGGGTGGTGCGGGGAGGTATTTTTGAATTCCCTGCATTGTGCAGGAGGTTGGACTAGATGACCCTGGAGGACCCTTCCAACTCTATGATTCTATGATTCAAATAAGAATGGACCGGGAGGGGGGGAGTTGAATGGCAATCCTGCCATACATCCTCTCCTAGTCAGTGGAAGCAGAGGACGGGACCCACTTCTCCACTTGCTAATCCAAGGGAAAGGGACTAAACAGAAAACTTGGGAAATTTACATCAGGTGATGGGAGCAGTGTTCAATGGAGAACAAAAAGGAGACTGGGTTTTTCTGGTACATAGTTCCAACACCACCACCCCCAATGTTTTTCCAGAAATGGCTAAGAGCATTTGTTTCTTTCATGTAGATTAATGCATTGGCTTACTCAGATCTTAAGATACAAATACATACTCACATGGCTCCAAAAAAACCACATAAGAAGTAAATTTTGAGCCTGGATATCATTATATCTTGTGCTTTCTTCCTCTGTCAATTCATAGGCATTTAGAAAGATCTGCCATTCTATTGTAAGCACTCAGCAGGAGATCTAAAGCTTTTTAAAGACTTTCCTGCCTGCCTAAATCTCTGCATACTCAAAAACTCCACTCTTTGTGGGATACCCTCTTTCAAAGCAAGGTTGTGATAAATTACTTCGAAGTCCACTCAACCTTATGGAGCTGAAGTCTCCTTAATCTACTTATGAGCAACTAACTTGCATATGACACTGTCTGCACTTTTCAGCCGAGCATCTGCTTCACAAGTAGTACTGGCAGTGATACCATCAATAATGCAGGACTGTTATTAAGGACACACAACATGCTGGGTTGCCCTGGAATCCAATCTTATAAGTTGCATTAATGTCGGTGAACTTCTCCCACCAACTCTGTGTACATTACACAATAGAATGATGGTGTTCTGAATTCTGCAGAAGTTGTAAAGCAAAAACAAGCATTTCTGTATGGGAGCCGAAGTGCTCCAAATCGTTACAAAAATACTCGAACTAGGAAAAAGGGTTACAGTTCTCCCTGCTTAACGTAATCACCACAAATGCAACGGAAGTTAGAGGTGGATGGGGAACATGATCGAATCAAGCATAAACCAAAGCCCTGGATTAAGTTCTGCAGCTGATTGCTCAAACAACAGGGCACAGTGAGCAACAATACTATTCTCCCCTTTTGAGGCAACAATCTCTAGTGGCCTGAAATGTCCCATTCATTAGCCTTTGTTTTATTATTTGAAAAACAAACAGTCCGCTCCATATATATTAAGAGCTGCTTCCTGTGTTAACGGTAGCTGGCTTGCAAATAACTGCTTGTGAAAGATCTACGTACACAATCAGTGTAATAGGGCAGGAGGGACTCAGAAGATCACAGCTCGTCTGCCATAATTCAAGTAATGCTGATTTCACAGAAGAGTCTCCTTCCGAGTGCACAGCTCTTGTGAGTAGATCGTTTTCATGAACAGCCATTTAAAAGAGTGAGCCGCCTCCACTAAAGTATGAATTGGCTTAACAGTCCCAAAGAGTTTAGTTCAATTGACAGCACATCTCCAGCTCAGCTACACAGATATTTTCCAGTCCTGTTACTTGAGATGCCTTAATTGGAGAAGCGGGAGATGAAACGCAGGGGCTCATGCACACAAACTTTGCACTCTGCATCAAAGCTGCCCAGGTTTGGAATCTCAGTGTTTTGGAAACCATATATTCTTTTTGGATCGTCAATAGCATTTAAGATCAATGCACACAGACTGTTTAATCAAGTCTAAAAAGGCACACTTACCTTTCTTGAATTTATGTACTGGAAGCTTCTTAAGCTGATCTTTTTGAAGCCTGTTCCTTCTTGCTCTGTGTCGGTCCTGGACAAATTTTGTAATCTTGAAAGTCCAAAAGAGAATATGGAAACATAAGATTAACGGTATAGACCAATTTCCACTACTTTCTGAGAACTGCTTTGCTAAAGATTAAAGCATAATATGTATAGATACTGAAGAACTCTGCTAATTTGTCACTTGCCATGCTTTTTAGATCTGGATATTTTTACCAGGAGAGCTGACACACAAAATCTCTTTGGCTCATAACTTTAAAGGGATCATTTGGCAATCTGTTTTTGCATCTGAGCCCTGCGGGACCTTATGCAGTTCCGCAGGGCCTGTAAGACGGAGCTTTTCCACCAGGCGTATGAGTAGGAGCCGCCACTAACATCACCGCTATTCCATCTCTACCTGGCCCTGGATGAGGTGAACATCAGTCCCTGGAGCAGATGAGGCTGAACAGTTATAAAAAATGCCATCTGATATTATGTTGAACATCTAGAGCACTCTAGTCTTTGATTGTTATGAATGCTGTTGTACTGTGGGATTTATAAATGTTTTAAAAGTTGTTTTATATTGGCGTTTGCCACTTGTAAGCCGCCCTAAGCCCGCATTGCGGGGAGGGCGGGGTATAAATTGAAATAAATAAATAAATAAATAAATAAATAAATAAATAAATAAATATGTAATTCCCTTTATGCAGTTCCCTTTAATGAACCTCTTGGATTGGGGGACAGAGAAAACAGCACAGCCATCCACCTTATCATGGTTGGAAGAGATAGCCACTAGTTGTACTTTAATGGGGGAGACTGATAATCCCCTATCCCCTCAGCATTAACAGGTAATCAAACACTGCCTTGAGCTGGGAGGCCCTGTCGTGCCTGCCCTTGGGAGTAAATGTGTGGCAAATTTCACACACCTCGGTGTTGTACTCTTCCCCCAAACATATTAAGCATATAGCACGCTCATCCAACTGAGCCATTTTTGTGCCACAGTCCACACATTTCTTAAAGAGAGCCATAAAGGAGCAAAGAAAAACTCACAGCTCTAGCTGGTAGATCCCATCTTCATGGTGGGAAAGAGAAGCCTGAGGAGTCTGCTCCTCTACTCCCAGTCACGTGCCATTTTGGATGGGAATGGCTGTCTCCAGAGGGGAGGGGAAGCACTCTCTCCACATCTAGAGCTCTAGAAACTTGTAAAAATCCCCTCTGCGGCTGGCCTGTGCACACGCAGTCCCATGTGGGATTGCAGAGAAGCCATGAAGACGAAAGTGAGAATTCTGAGTTGTCTGAGCACCTGTAATCTATTTGTGATTTATGAGAAACTGGGTTGTTCGAACATCAACCACAGGAGAGTTGGGGAAAACTTGCCATCTCTAACAATGAAGCACACATGAATCATGACAATCTAACAATGGGCATGAGAACTGTACATATGTCCAATAACCAACAGCCTAAAATGTTTCATCTTTTTTAGATGGTCCGATAGAGGTGAGCTACAGGGATAGGAAATGCATAAGTAGCTGTGGGTCTTATATGCAGAGGATCCTGTCTTAGGTGAGCAGCTAAAATGGTTGAACACAATGTCTACTGAAGTTCTATGATACATCCCACTGACATCTGTCTGAGCATTTGTCAAACTGATTGGGAACACTCTGGCTAGCCACTACAGCATAATTAGCATGCTTCTTGCCCATATTCTGGATCTTCTAGAGTATTACAAAATAATAACATATTAATCCAAAGTAATTCCCTTGATTTGAGTAGTCAGACTGGACGTGAAAGTGATCTGGGATAACAATTTTGAATAAGCAATTGGTGCAATACGCCAAGGGCTGTTTGTCTTATAACTTAAATCTTGGAAAGCTGTTATTACAGTTAAAATTATGCTTTGTCTAGAAAACTTTTTGATGTCCTCTAGACATGTCCCATTCGGACACTGGTCAGATCATGTGGCACCCTAGCACCTCCAACACGATGAATGGACAATAATAGTATTTCCATAATGCTTTTAAGTGATCAAAATGCTTCCCAATTAACCAACCCTGCATTGTCTGCCTTTTCCTCTTCCTGGCAGGGGGCTGAGGCTAAGAGAGAGTAGCTTGCCTAAGAAGTCAGTTCATGGTAGATGCAGTACAGTGGCTAAGAGAGTGAGCTACGAACTGGGAAGTGCCCATTTAGAGTATTATAACTGGAGACTTCCCAGTTTGTAGCTCAATCTCTTAGTCACTGTACTGCACTCACTGTCTTTCTGCCCCTTAAGCAGCCCCATAAATCAGGATGGCTTATAATTTTCTCTAAGAACTGATTTTCACATAATAGATTGCCTACACATAAATCACTTCTGTGGGGGAAACTGGTCAACTCATATATTGATCAAAACATCTGATGAGACCCCAAAATATATGCAGCTTCTCAGTGTGTGTGTACCTGAGCCAGCCTCTCCCCAAACCATTACTCCATGTGGACCCAACAACCCCAGAAATCAACTTTCTCAAAGGTTAGAAGGGATTACTGGAGAGAGGAGAAAGCAGGGAAGATCTGTGACTTCTAGCAGTTTCTACTGACTGATCACTGGATCCAGCCCACAGTATTTCAGAATATTAAAGAGATTCTCAGGCAGCCATTTAGTTCAATTCTTGAAAACTAGTTTCAGAGGATTGCTGTTGCCAGGATTGGTGTGGATAAACTATCCAGTCAAGCTAGTCACATAACATGCTTAATCATACGATCCACAAAATCATAAGCTAGAACAAAAAACAAGGCTACTCCTTTCTTATGAATAGGTTTAGCTAAATAGCTTTTGTTTTGGGACATCAGACAGGAAAAACTTTTCTACAGCTCCTTAGGAAGCGATCTCTTAGACTTGGCCTACATGGTACAGATGACCCCACTGCCGGCTGGTGAGATTATTCTAACAAGAGCACCTGACACAAATGCTGATCATTGCAAATGATTATATACACTGCATGGTGTAAAGGATTTGAAAAAAACTTCTTTCTCAGAACTTGGGAGGTTTCATATCCCATGAGTCATTGCTAGCTAACTAAAGGAAGTTGGAGAAGGCATTATTTTGAAATAGAGCCATAGATCTACAGACAGCTAGACAGCATCCATTCTTTTAGATGGTTTGGAATCAGAACTCTGTCAACAGAAACTAAACACTGCATTCCTAGGAGCATAACGTAAATTTTCTAATTGCCATGGCTATAAAGATTACATAAAATCAACATAGAGTTCTTGAGATTGCAAGCTACCAACTCAGCACACCAGATGCATGGGGTAATTCCTATAAAGAAATAAATGTGTTATGTGAAAACAGAAATCTCCCTGTGATAACTGTATCATCTAGACTTAAAGCATACAGTTGCCTGCTTTTTTAGTGGAGGAAGAAGCTTTGTGCATGCATTCCTTGACATAAGGAAATAACTTCTTCATTAAAATAAATATGAACACCCTACAAAAAAACTTATTTGAACTGGTGATTACATAAGGCTCTGGACTGGAGGGACAGCATCATAAGAACTTTGATTTGGCAATTTCTGAGATGGTGATTTACAAATCTTAAAATACAGTTTTCACAGTGCCACAAATTATACTTGTTTCATTTTTAAAAAACAAACAAACCAACAAAACCTTGGAATAGCATGATGAAGAGTTATACCTACCATAAAAATAACAATAAGTATGAGACAGATCCCCACAATGATTAGGAATGGGATTAGGTAGTACTCCAAAGGGAGGTTGAACTCTGGAATTAACACAATATGGCCTCTATAAAGAAAAAAAGGAAGACAAATTAATTTTCAAATGGTTTAAAAGAAGAAGAGATTGGATTTATGCCCCGCCCTTCACTACCTAAAGGAGTCTCAGAGCGGCTTACAATCTCCTTTCCCTCTCCCTTCCCACAACAGACACCCTGTGAGGTAGGTGGGGCTGAGAGAGCTCTCTCGAGAACTGCTCGTGAGAGAACAGCTCTGAAAGAAATTGGGACTGACCCATGATCACACCATCAGCTGCATGTGGAGGAGTGGGGAATCAAACCTGGATCTCCCAGATTAGAGCCCGTGTTCCTAACCACTACACCAAACTGGCTCTCTGTCAAATATATTTTCCTACAAAAGAAACTTCAGAGGTACATCAAGAATGAAGTCAACCCCTTTGGACACCCAACAGATACAGGGTTTGATCCGACGACTAATTAATTAAGGAATCTTCTTCTGACAGAGAAAGCCTACAGAATCACGCATGCATTAGACAAAGCAAGACTCCTTGCTTGGTAGAAGGGAGTTTGGGATCTAATCCAGAGTGTTATACTTTTAAAATATTCAACCCATTATTTAAATTAGTTTACTCTCATAATGATTAACACTATATTCACCATAAAAATAATAAGAACTCATCCTCAATGCGTACACACAACAGGAAAAAAAGTTTGGTACTGGACAAGCATCGCTTTTATTGTGTCCATCTTTGATTGCCATCATAAGCAGACTTTATATCGGCAAAACAAATCATTCTATTGTTGATTTCATATATGCTTAAATACTTCAATTAGGGTTGCCAGGTCTAACTCAGAAAATATCTAGGGACTTTGGGGGTGAAGCCAGAAGGCTTTGTGGATGGAGCCAGGAGCAAGGATGTGACATTACTTTTGTGATGCCACTAGGGTTGCCAGGTGAGGCCAACAAGGGAGTTCTAACTGTCACATTTAAGCATTCCTTTTAAATGCTTTCCCTCCAGTTAGGTGTAGTGGCTAAGAGCACGGACTCTAATGTAGGAGAACTGGGTTTGATTCCCCACTCCTCCACTTGCACCTGCTGGATGACCTTGGGCAAGCCATAGTTCTGGCACAGCTGTTCTTGGAAAAGAGCAGTTTCTGTCAGAGCTCTCTCAGCCCCACCTACCTCACAGGGTGTCTGTTGTGGGGAGGGGAAGGGAAAGGAGTTTGTAAGCCACTCTGAGACTCCTTTGGGTAGTGAAGGGTGGGGTATAAATCCAATCTCTTCTTCTTCTTCTTCTCTACTGGAAATAATGGAGGATGTGGGCACCTTCTTTTGGGGCTCATAGAATTGGATCCCCGGTCCATTCTTTTTGAAACTTGGGGTTTTTTCCAGGAGAGCCACTATTAGCTATGCTGAAAATTTGGTGCATCTACCTCAAAAAACAGCCCCCACCCCGAGCCGCAGATACCCATGAATCAATTCTCCATTATACCATATGGGGACCGGTCTCCATAAAGTACAACAGAGGGCCCAGCAGCCATTCCCCCCTCCTACTTTCTGACAGCCCTGAAGCAGGGGCAGGGGCTCTAAACCAGGGGATCCCCTGCCCCCAAATGGGGATTGGCAACCCTAACTTCAGTAAAAAGGAATCAAGATATTTCCCAAACAAAAATACACTTTTGCATACCCATTCTCATATGTGAATTCTTCTTTAAGGGCATTAGCAGATGATTCACCAATAAAGACAGATGGAATGTCAATCTTCTTTAAGACCTCAACTATTTAAAAAGAAAGAAAAGAACAAAAAATAAAGGACTAAGAATAACAATGTAGAATAAATTTATTTGTATGCCACTAGTAAAGGTTGTTGAATATAAGTAAAGCAATGTGCAGACTCAGACCCAGAGAGCACTGCGGTCAGGGTCACAACATCGCCTGACCCTCCCTGGTCCGAAAGAAGCCAGGCTGAATGTCACCAGGACCAGGGCTTTCTCAGTGGCGGCCCCAACCTGGTGGAATGAGCTCCCGGAGAACATCAGGGCCCTGCAGGACCTTTTACAGTTCCGCAGGGCCTGTAAAACGGAGCTCTTCTTCCACCAGGCTTTCGACTAGGGGCTGCCACTGATGAGTGTGCTGTGCAACATCATCTGGTCTGAAATTTCAGAACACCCTCGGGCCTGAGATTCCGCTGGACGCTACCCCTATCGTTGGATGGGATTTGGATTACCGCCATTTCTGTTGGGTTAATTGCGACTGCTGTTGTTTTAATTGGTATGGTATTTATTAATTGTTTTAACTTGGTTGTTTATGCCATTTTAATGTTGTTAGCCGCCTTGAGCCAGATATCTGGAAAGGCGGGATATAAATCTAAACAATTTAAAAAAAAGACTCCTAATACAGAGGATTCACAAAATTATGTACAGCCTAGTATAGGGGTCTCCAATGCGGTGCCTGTGGGCGCCATGGTGCCTGCCAAGCCCAACACCTTTTTTGGTGCCGATCAAATGTTTTTAGGAAGTGGGTGGGGCCAGGTGGGGCTCTTGCCCATCACAGCTTTTGATTTGCCACTGAAGATCTGATTGGCTATGCAAATTAAAATAACATTGTTTCAGCTGCTGCAACCACAGTGTTTGCTTTATTCTCTCCCACTGTTCTTTCCCAATGTATTTTTAATTACCCTTCTTCTCTGCACTTGGGCTTCTTCTGTGTTTGAGGCAGCCATTCTGTGGTTGTGCCCTACACCCTGTGTCAGAATTCCAAACCTGCCCCTCAGGCTCAGAACAGCTGGGGATCCCTGGTCTAATAGCTTCGCGTATCTGTATTTATCTCTCTTCTACTAATAAAGCCGCTTCTAGCGGCCTCTATGTGTCAAAAGAGAGTCAGAATATTTCAGAGAACAAAAAACGTTATTTGATATGTGTTTTTTCATGCAAAACAATGTCCTTTGTATCAGTACACATTGAGCACTTTAAGGAAATCTAAATACCATGCTAAGTTCTCTCTTGCTCACAAAACAGCTCTATTCTTTCTACTTGTGTGGCTCTCTAATTCAGAACACCACTGCCTCCTGTCCACCTTTGACAAAGGGCTAGATACCCCTCTTTCAAACAGCAGGTGTACATTCACACATTGGAAGTCTGTAATGTGAGAGTTCTGTTTCATTTGTAAAGAGCGTGTGGTGGGGTAATACGACCACTTGTTATTCTCGTTCTTCCTGAACCCACATCAAGTCCAAGGCTGTTTGAGCATAGTTTCCGAAATTACTGTTCTGTATAGTCAAATACTCTTTCCCGTGATGGTGTTAAGCATGGAAAACATTTAAATGCTTGCCAATCCTGCTGTTACCAGGGATGTGTTGATGTTAGCCTGCATACTTTGCATAGAATTGGGCACTGGAGGGAGAGAATAAGAAGCATTCAAGCATAACTGCTTCTGTGTGGATAACCCCTACAGGAAAAGGGTTTTTCAGCAGTCTGCATGCAGGAACAGGAGTTTCTGATACTGTTTCAAAGCAGATGCGAAGGAGATGCAAGTAGGAAAGTGACAGGAAGCACAACAACCTCCTGCATTTCCTTGCCACATGCGAAAATAAAAGTTTCCCATATCCTTTTAAAGCTCCAGTTTGCAAATGCAAGTCCATCACCTCTATGGATTTTCATGGTGCCTCGGTAGTCATTTTGGATCTCAAAACAGAGTTTTAGAACACCAGGAGTAAAACAAGATGTGAAAAGTAGCCGTAAAAGGACAGCACATAAACAATGTTTGTAACAGAACATTATATACAGTTATGTTTCAATTGACCTTCATTGATTTCAATTTTTTGTTCGATCAGACCTATACCTCTGGCAGGTTTGTTGTTCAGTCGCACAGTTGAGTCCGACTCTTCGCAACCCCATGGACCACATCATGCCAGGCCCTCCCATCTTCCGTTGTGCTCCGGAGTTTGCTTAATTTCATGTTCATTGCATCGATAACACTATCTAGCCATCTCAACCTTTGTCGTCCCCTTCTTCTTTGACCTTCAATCTTTCCCAGCATCAGGGTCTTCTCCAGTGAGTGCTCCCTTCTCATTTGGTGGCCAAAGTATTTGAGCTTCAGCTTCAGTATCTGGCCTTCCAGGGAACACTCAGGGTTGATTTCTTTTAGGATTGACTGATTTGATCTCCTTGCAGTCCAGGGGACTCTCAAGAGTCTTCTCCAGCACCATAATTCAAAAGAATCTATTCTTCGGTGCTTGGCTTTCCTTATAGTCCAACTCTGGCAGCCATACAGTACTACTGGGAATACCATTGCTTTGACCATACGGACTTTTGTTGGCAGGGCGATGTCTCTACTTTTTATTATGCTGTCAAGGTTTGCCATCGCTTTCCTCCCAAGGAGCAGGCGTCTTTTAATTTCATGGCTGCTGTCACCATCTGCAGTTTTAACAGCATCCTCTTCTAAGACTTTGAATAGCTCAGCTGGGATACCATCACCTCCACTAGCTTTGTTGTTAGCAATGCTTTCTAAGGCCCATTTAACTTCACATTCCAGGATGTCTGGCTCGAGGTCAGTGATTATACCGTCGTGGTTGTCAAGGGCATTGAGGTATTTCTTGTATATTTCTTCTGTGTATTCTTGCCATCTTTTCCTAATCTCTTCTGCTTCTGTTATTCTTGCCATCTTTTCCTAATCTCTTCTGCTTCTGTTATTCTTGCCATCTTTTCCTAATCTCTTCTGCTTCTGTTATTCTTGCCATCTTTTCCTAATCTCTTCTGCTTCTGTTATTCTTGCCATCTTTTCCTAATCTCTTCTGCTTCTGTTATTCTTGCCATCTTTTCCTAATCTCTTCTGCTTCTGTTATTCTTGCCATCTTTTCCTAATCTCTTCTGCTTCTGTTATTCTTGCCATCTTTTCCTAATCTCTTCTGCTTCTGTTATTCTTGCCATCTTTTCCTAATCTCTTCTGCTTCTGTTATTCTTGCCATCTTTTCCTAATCTCTTCTGCTTCTGTTATTCTTGCCATCTTTTCCTAATCTCTTCTGCTTCTGTTATTCTTGCCATCTTTTCCTAATCTCTTCTGCTTCTGTTATTCTTGCCATCTTTTCCTAATCTCTTCTGCTTCTGTTATTCTTGCCATCTTTTCCTAATCTCTTCTGCTTCTGTTAGGTCCCTACCGTTTTTGTCATTTATCATGGCCAGCTTTGCATGGAACGATCCTTTGATTTCTCCAATTTTCTTGAAGTGATCTTTAGTCCTTCCCATTCTATTGTTTTCCTCGATTACTTTGCATTGTTCATTCAGGAAAGCCTCCTTATCTCTCCTCACTGTTCTCTGGAAATCTGCATTCAGTTGGGTGAATCTTTCCTTTTCACCTTTGCCTTTCACTTTCCTTCTTTCCTCTGCTATTTGTAAAGCCTCATCAGACAGCCACTTTGCTTTCTTGCATTTCTTTTTCTTTGGGATGGTGGTGATTGCTGCCTCCTGTACAATGTCACGAACCTCCGTCCATAGTTCTTCAGGCACTCTATCAAATCTAGTCCCTTAAACCTATTCTTCACCTCCACTGTATATTCATCAGGGATCTGATCTAGGTAAAATCTGAATGGCCTAGTGGTTTTCCCAACTTTCTTCAGTTTAAGTCTGAATTTTGCAATGAGTAGCTCATGATCTGAGCCACGGTCAGCTCCAGGTCTTGTTTTTACTGACTGGATAGAGCTTTTCCATCTTTGATTGCAAATTATATACTCCATCTGATTTCAGTGTTGCCCATCTGGTGATGTCCATGTGTAGTCGCCTCTTAGGTTGTTGTAAGAGGGTGTTCGCTATCACCAGCGTGTTCTCTTGACAAAACTCTGTTAGCCTTTGCCCTGCTTCATTTTGTTCTCCAAGGCCAAACTTGTCTGTTATTCTGGTTACCTTTTGACTTCCATTAATACTTCCTCAGTTAACAGAACATATGCTGAAACAATGAAAGTAATAGGTTGGAAATGAGACCACTGAAATGGAGACTCAGAAGCAATGGCATGATAAAACTTTTCTTAGAGATGGAAAATAATAATAAAACTTTACTGGCCCAGATCAGCAAACATTAATCTTTGTGTTGTGTACCTAATTTAAACATTCATACTTGACTGCCAGTTATCCATGATAAATTATCTCTGATGAGCTAATGGCATTCTATTCACAGATATCTCAAAAAGCGATGGTTTTGGCATATGGGTTTCATAGACCGATTCCTCCATGAATGATGTCACAGGGGAAAAAAACTAATGGGTATTGAGGATATTAGTTATGGTACTTTTGGCCCTGATTCTGGTAGCTCAGTGCTACTTGCAGCAATAGCCATCTACAGAGAAATTGACTGATGTAGTCCCTGTGCAGCTTGCAGGTACAAAACAGGCTGAATCGGTGTATCTGAAATCTAGGTGATGGGGGGAAAGCACCTGAAAGCACCCTTATACTTTAATGCAGCGATCCCCAAAGTGGGATCCATTGTTTTTCCTGGTGCTGCTTGCTTCTTGAATTTTGGGGATAAAATCTAAAGGGTCTTCAAGGGAACAGGAAAAAGAACCAGGGACCTTCAACTATAACCTAACAGCTGGGTAGCAAAGGTACTGAGCCCATCACAGGCAGGGACATCAGAGGCAGGGCTTTTCTTCCTGGGGGAACACACTGGAATGGAGTTCCGGAACGTCTTCAACAAAATTCTTTTAAAAATATTTAAAAGTTCATGAGTTTTCAGTATACAGATTGAAAACTTCATTTCCTTCTTGGGAGTTCAGGCACCTCTTCCCCCCACCAAAAAAAAGCCCTGATCACAGCCATCATATCTATGAAAACCTTTCCCTGTGACTGTTCAGGAGGCACATAGAAACTGAAACCACAGTTTTTCTTCCCCAAAGCAAAGAACCCATCCCCACTTCCCTCTACCTTCTTGGTATAGAAAGTGCTTCAGAAGCCTCAGTTTTGATTAATTTTGCAAAAAAAAAACCCCACAAAAAATCAGTGCGCAGTCTGGAAATTTGTTCTCCCTGTTTGGAACTATGACTCTTCCATGGAAAATAAAAAGTGACCAATGATATTGTAAAATGATTAAAAGTGCTTTGCTGCCCATCCTTTACCTTCTATTTTAGTAAAATCAAACTAAGGAAAAAAGAATGTAGGCTGAGAATTCACACACTGCCAACAATGTGTAATTGGGGTCCCAAAACATGTGAACCTGCGGGCACCTTCAGGATTTTGACACAGGGTGGTGGGCGTGGTCTCTTAGTTAAGAAAAGGATCTTCAATGGAGAATGCAGCATTCATTCAAACTGCACAGGGGCAACAGCTGCAATAATGGGTTTTGAAGCTTTCCTTCATGGTATCCAAATGTCTCTTTTAAAAAAAAGCAACAGTACCGACTACACAGATCATCATTTTGTTTTGTATGCAAATAGCATATTAAATAAGAAAAGGGATAGAGTTCCACAATAACTGTGGTAGAAGTTTTATTACGTTGTAAAGAAAAGAAAAATGAATGTCACCCAAAAAACAGGCATTCAATTTAATTCAAAATATATTTTAATATATTTTGTAATACATTTTTAATTATTATCTAATTTATTCAGTATCAAACACTCAAAAGAAAAGGAACATGTTATAGTTGGGTTGCTCATTTAAACACAGATGTCCCTAGATATGAAAAGGGAAGAGAGATGAAATAATTTTACTTTCTTAAGGATAACTCCAAATTGCCTAAATCCTGTCTAGAATTTCTAATGATGCAAGGAGCAAGGGCAATTTCCATACATTCCACACCCCTGCAGAAGCCTATAATCCTCCTCCAGTGCTGCTCTTGGGGGACAGGGGATCCCCAAGAACAGCTTGGGGAAAATCAGTTGTCTCCCACAGTAAGGGGGAATCAGTGGAAACACCCCCCCAGTTGCCTGTGGAAATTCCAGGCAGGATCCAAGCCATCATTCAAAACTCACAGGGTTAATGTATGCAACATTTGCCCCAGATGCCAAAAGTCCAACCACTGGGATATGCCTAATGTACGAAGAAGTGAGGATACAGCTTGGGCTGCTTCCAGAGTTTTCTAATGCTGTGGATTGTTCACAATATTTTGGAATCTCAGGCAGTAGAGAAGAATGGATACTTGGAACAGTATACCATTTCAGCTTTTTTACTCAGTTACCTATTTAAACTTGTTCTCCGATAGTCTAGAAAGGATTATGAAAGACATTGGTACATCAGCTATTTCCCCCATTAACAGGCAGAAGAAGAATGCCTTGTACAAGAAGCTCAACCCCATACGGTACAAATACAATATGTGAAAGGCAAAACAGATGCTGTTGGCTAAGTTGAGAGCAGAAAACTTGACTTCTGCTGGAAAGATTGTGAAGCTGCTTTTCCAGGGGGGACAGAATGGTTTTCAAACACAAGTGAACTGATACCTGTACTTACTGTCTTTGGATCCCATGCTAATGAGTTCATCGGAATCAACATTGTGAACTATGGCTGCTTTAAAGCCAGCTCTTTGAGCATTCAAAACCTGCAAGCCAGATGAAAGTATCTGTTAATAAAATATCCATTTTTAATCTTAATACCACTACACTTTACAGAGGTACGGTCTTTATGCTTCTCCTTACACAAATGTTGTAGATTGGCATGGTATTATTTCTCATGTTATAGAAGGTTCTGTGCTGCATACAGACGGATCTGTATAGTCACACTAGTTGTCATACTCGCCATGGGTTGGGGGTGGGGAATTATAATGATTTTTAAATGAATTTTATTAAGAGTCTTTAAACAAGGGATAACAAAAGAAAAGGAAAAGGAAAGGGAAAAGGATCAGGTTATAACGATTTGTATCCAAGCAGTGTTTTCCACCAATAGAAGGGTACTTGGGAGGAAAGGTGGTATGGTGTAGCATGATCTCACCAGATCTCAGAAGCTAAGCAGGGTTGGTACTCAGAAGGGAGACCACCAAGGAAGACTCTGCAGGCAAGCAATGGCAAGCCACCTTTGTTTCTCACTTGCCTTGAAAGCCCCTTGCCGGGGTCGCTACAAGTTGGGTGGAACTTGCTGGCACTTTATACACACACACACTCACACTCACACACGGGTACTTCTTTCAGCAGAGGAGAGAGCAATTTTAACCCATTACCCTTTCCCACTGCAGATCCCCCACTTTGCCCCCATGCTGTTTGTGAAGGGTCCCCTAACTCCCCAGAACAGAATTCTTGGGTGCTCAGAAGGCTGCAGCAGAACAGAAGCAGAAAAGTCCCATCTGTGAGATCTGCTCCCCTTGTGGTTTGCTGAATGCATCCCTAACAATAATTATGTATACATACCAGCAGGGCTTTCTTTTTCCTTCCTGTCCCCAGCGACAGCCCCTCTCACAGCATAGCAAAATGCTTTTGTCTAAACAAGTCTGTGATGGGACATGATGGCTGCTACTCAAAGAAAAAGAAAAGTCAGGAGTCGAAGAAGAGGAGGAGGAGGAGGAGATTGGATTTATACCCCGTCCTTCACTCGAAGTCTCAGAGCAGCTTACAAACTCCTTTCCCTTCCCCTCCCCTGTGAGGTAGGCGGGACTGAGAGAGCTCTTTCCAGAGCTGTCCTTGAGAGAACAGCTCTGCCAGAACTATTGCTTGCCCAAGGCCTTCCAGGAGCTGCAAGTGGAGGAGTGGGGAATCAAACCCAGTTCTCCCACCTACTGTAAGCCCTTGGGTATGACTAGAGTTCAGAATTATGGCCAATGTTTCAGGTATCCTGCACTGGCTTCCTTTTCTCCTAAAGATCACGTAAAAGAATTTAGAACTGGGAAGAATTTAGGCAGAAGATGCCAGGCCTATGAAGATAGCCATGTGATTAAGTGGAATATGGAACAGGCATCTTTAGTTTTCCCATGTAAATGTTGTTAGAAATAAAAATGCTAATTAATAATTTAATGAACACATATTGAATTAATTAATTTGAACGTGGTAGAGATAAGACCACAGCCATAAACACCATGAATTATAAATGAATCCTATTACTTACGTCAACGGAATTCTATCATGCCTTTCCAGATGAGAGCCCTACTTTTCTGCTGCTGCTGCTAAATCTGTACAGTCATTGATTCAGCCCCATTTGTGTGTTGTCCTGCCCAGAGATTTTCCCTGTACATTGTACATTAACAGAAATGATGCTGTCCCAGCTATCCCAAAGGAAATGGTTTGGATCCCACCAACTTGTTTTGCTCAAGCGTGCCCAATTTCCCTTCCTATTATAGCCCTTATCCCACATGACTTCTCTCCACACAGGATTGGTGTAGTGGTTAAGTGCACGGACTCTAATCTGGGAGAACCGGGTTTGATTCCCCACTCCTCCACTTGCACCTGGCTGGATGACCTTGGGCAAGCCATAGTTCTGATAAGAGCTGTTCTTGAAAAAGAGCCGTTTCTGTCAAGAGCCCTCTCAGCCCCACCTACCTCACAGGGTGTCTGTTGTGGGGGGGGGAAGGGAAAAGGAGTTTGTAAGCCGCTCTGAGACACCTTTGGGTAGTGAAGGGCGGGGTATAAATTCAATCTCCTCCTCCTCCTCCTCCTTCTTCCTCTTCTTCTTCTCTCCTCCATGTTATCCTCACAACAACCTTGTGAGGTAGGTTAGGCTGAGAGTGTGTGACTGTCCCAAGATCCCCCTGCAAGCTTCTATTGCAGAGCAAGGATTTGAGCCTGGGTTTCCCAGATCCTAGTCCGACACTTTAACCACTGCATCACGCTTGCAGGGATAACTCATTAGAGGAGAAAGCTAGAAGACCAGTTGGTGGGATCCAAACCAAAATGGAAAATACATGGGGAAACCCTGGCCCAGGTGAGACAAACCTAGGGCTGCTAGTCCCCAGATCCTGGTGGGGGTTCCCCCAGTTTCTGAGGCATTTGCCTACTGCTGGCCTGCTGGCCAGCTGGCCAGCGGGGGAACCCCACCCCCAAACAGCAATGTCACTGCTTGACGTCCTCGACACAATGACATCACCCGGGAGTGATATCATCATGTTCAGGGTGTTGTACAGTGACACTCTGGTTCGAGGGCAAAACTCTATGATTTGAAGCCAGTTTTACCATAGAGGTTTGGCCTCAAACCAGAGCATCGCCACGCGATGTCCCCAACATGATGACATCACTTCCAGGTGACATCATCACATTGGGAATGTCCCAGAATACCCCTCAAATCCCCCCACTGGCGCAACGAGGGGACCTGGCAACCCTAGACAACCCCCCGTGCTATCTGCAGTGGAAGCTAAGGGTCTCTGTTTGTGGCAGGCATAACTCAGAAGATAATGGTACATGTCTGAAAACTGTCCACCAATCCAAGAATGATGGTAGAAGTTGCAGTGCCAAAAATGAAGGGAATTGGAACACCCTGAACCAGGTTATCTTCACAACAGACAACATGTAGTAAAGGAGCTTTCAAGCAACCTGTCATGTGTCTCTAATACTCAGATCTCCACCCACAAATGAAAGTTGCTAGGTGACATATTCTCAGCCAGACCTACCTCACAGGGTTGCTGTGGGGATAAAATGGATGAAAGGAGAACAATGCAGCTCTGGGTCTCCACTGGGGAGAAAGACTTGGACAGTAAGGCTGTGGGTTCTGACAGCAAGAATATGCCAACAAATATGGAAAACAAGACAATGGCCCACAGACTGGAAACACTCAATCTGCATTCCAATTCCAAAAAAAGAGATGTCAAAGACCGCAGCAACTATTGGACTATCACATTAATTTTTCATGGAAGTAAAGTGATGCTCAAAATCTTGCACCAAAGGCTGTTATCATATACGGAATAAAAAATGCCAGATGTTCAAGCTGGATTCAGAAAAGGAAGAGGTGCTCAAGATCATATAGCAAATATGATGTGTTTCATAGGTTACAGCATGACTTTTCACTGCGTGGACCATGAAAAACTACGGTTGGTTTTAAAATAGAAGGATGTGCCTCAACATCTGATTATTTTGATGTGCAACCTATTCTCTGGACAAGAGGCGACTGTTAGGACAGAATACAGAGAAACAGAATGGTTCCCAATTGACAAAGGTGTCAGACAAGGACGTACTTTATCTCCATCTCTCTTCAGTCTACATGCAGAACGTATCATAAGGAAAGCTGGTTTAGATTTAGATGAAGGTGGACTGCAAACTGGTGGAAGGGACATTAACAATTTGAGATATGCAGATGACACCACATTACTGGCAGAAAGCAGTGAAGACTTGAAACGACTACTTAAGAAGGTTAAAGCAGAAAGTGCCAAAGCAGGATTACAGCTGAACATCGAGAGGACAAAAGTAGTGAGTACTGGAGAATTACACAATTTAAAGGCTGACAATGAAGAAACTGAAATTGTTTAAGATTTTCTATTCCTGGGTTCCATCATTAACCAAAAGGGAGACTGCAACCAAAAAATCAGGAGGAGACTGAGACTGGGAAGGACAGCCATGAAGGAGCTAGAAAAGATCCTAAAGTGTAACATTGTGTTGCTGGCAGCCAAGATTAAGATAATTCATACTGTAGAATTCATACCATAGCTTTTCCTATTACTATGTATGGATGTGAAGAAAGTTGACAGGAAAAGTGATTCCTTTGAAATGTGGTGTTGAGCAGCGCTAGGAAGAAGAAGAGATTGGATTTATACCCCGCCCTTCACTTGGAGTCTCAGAGAGGCTTACAATCACCTTCCCTTCCTCTCCCCACAACAGACGCCCTGTGAGGTAGGTGGGACTTAGAGAGCTCTGAGAGAACTGCTCTTGAGAGAACAACTCTGAGAGAAATGTGACTGACCCAAGGTCACCCAGCTGGCTGTATGTGGAGGTGTGGGGAATCAAACCCGGTTCTCCAGATTAGAGTCCACCACTCTTAACTACTACACCAAATTGGCTCTTAACCACTACACCAAGTGAGAGTTTTATGGATATCATGGACCAGCAGAAAGAATCCAGCCTGAGCTCTCCCTAGAAGCTTAAATGACCAAACTGTGGCTATCATACTTTGGTTACATTATGAGAAGACAACGGTCACAGGCAAAGACAATAAGGCTAGGAAAAGTTGAAGGTGGCTGGAAAAGAGGAAGACCCAACACGAGATGGGTGCATCGATTCAATCAAGGAAGCCCCGAGGGCCCTCCGTTTGCAAGGCCTGAGCAAGGCTGTTAACGACAGGAATGTTTAGGAGGTCATTAATTCAGAGGGTCGCCATAAGTCAGAAGCGACCTGACAGCACCCACAAATAGCTGTGGGACAATCCCCCCCCCCAAGTGAAACATCTTAACTTTGTGTGTCAAAAGAGACTTTTCCACCGTTGCCCGCACCCTCTAGAATGGGCTCCCAGAATTGGTGAGGAAGCCTCCATCCCTCCCAGCCTTTAGAAGGGCTTGCCAAACTGTATTATTTCAGAGAGCATTTTTCCGAGAGCATTTTGCTGAAGCAGGCAGGTTTTCCTGGGCTTTGTTGTTTATTGTCAAGTCTTAAATTTAAAGTTTAACTGTCAAACTGAAACACCCCAAAGCATCTCATTTCAACATTTTTTTTAAAGGCACAATTCAGAGTTCTTCAGCCTTTACTTCTCCTTGCCTACTCTCTTCCGAAGCTTATAAGGACTTTTAGGGACTGCCGCCCCTTTCTCTGAAAGAGAGTCCTCCCCAGAAGATTCCTAATCCAGCTCGCCATTGGACTTACTGTGCATCCTTTTTTTTTTCCTTCTTCCCCCAGCCCACCCAACTGGACTCTTAAAAATCCCCGTGCTTTCTGAACAGAGTCAATCTTTTCTTTTTTATCCTTGATACCATCTATATCCAATTGCATTTGTCTGTAGAAAAAGAATTAGTTTTTATATTTCTTTCTCCTTTGTCTTATCTCAAATGGAATGTCTTTCAATGTTCTGATGGTATTCTCCTTCACTTTCAGCGGTGCTCCAGATACTGCTTTCAGGATTGCATCCCTCACATGCCTCTTCGAGAATCTTACCACAATTTCCCCAGGCAGATTATTTTTCTTTAGGTATCCTGAATATGACCTATAGGCCACATCCATTTCGTTTAACAGGAATTCCGCCTTCATATCTGTCACTGGGGCCAATATTTCACTCATTAGTTTTTTCAGATTCTCTCCCTTAGTCTCTGGCAAGCCTTGGAAGCGAAGAATCATATTAGCCATTTCCATTTGTAATTGTAGCAGCTGATCTTCTGTAGAAACTTGCTTCTTTTCCAGCTTTTGAACTTTCTTTTTCACCTTTTGTGCAGTGGGGTCCACTTCTTTCACCTTCTCAGCTGTTTCATTCATCATTTTAAGTGTCTTGCTTATCTGTGTTTGCTGCGTGGTGATACACTGAGTCATTTTCAACATCTGCTCCTTGAGATTATTCATGTGGTCCAGTAGGGGGCGCATGGATTCTGCCAAAGTCTTTGCCAGCTCGTTGGATCCTTCCGGTTTGAGGCTCTCCGTTAGTTTCAGTTTCAAAGGTTTCTCTTTCTCCATCCTCTTCCCTGCCATCTTTCTCGATTGTTTACTTTGACAAATATTTTGAAAGTCTCTGAATATGCGCCCAAACGCTTAAACTCGCCTTGGTGAGTATTTCCTAACAGTTATGCATGCTTTCTCTTCTGCTCCCCCCCCTCGATTCGCTCAAAAGTTCATGCAGTTGGGAGGAGTCCCTCCCCCACCCGCCTCGCTTTCTGTTTTACAGAATGGGGTAGGGAGCTTTCTTTTCTCTTTCACCACCGCTTACGTTAGACTCATGTTCATAGTTGGTCCTCAGACCCCCTTTTTAAAAATCATTTCTGCCGCTTGACCTCCTACGCTTGCCCCGGTTGGCATCACTTGAGTCCATTCGGCCTCGCAGCTCGAAGAACCTTTAGGACGGAGAGGCGCCTCAATTCCCCAGCATTCCGCTGGAGAAGAGGCAACCTCTCATAAGTCCCCTGGCCAGAGCCCCTTCAGCCGGGTCCCTGGGGGGGTGACGAGCCTGCGCACCCCCTCCTTCGGCCGGAGCGCAGCTTCACCCCCGCGAAGTCTGGGAGGTGAGTCTGCTAACGTGCCGCCATAAACCGGAAGTCCGGCTTTGTTGTTTATTGTCAATGAGATCATTGTCAGTTCGCTGTGCAAACTTGGTTTCACTGTAAGCCACATGGTGCTGCTGGAAGGGCAAGCAAGTACATTTCTAATAAATTAAAAAATGAGACTACTCAAGGTAAAGTAATATCCAAACAGACCCAAACTTGAACGACAATAAGAAAAAGAATAATGGTGCTTTCAGTCCTGATGTCTGCAGAACTGAGAGCAGCAAGGTGCTCAATGTTTCCTGTCAAGGAATTCAGAGTGATCTACAGAGCATTACTATAAAGAACTGTGTATTTTCAAACATTAATTCATGCATACTTTCCTGTTAAGGAGCTTGGAACGACTGCAATTGTTTCCCAGTCTACTGATTTAATTCTCAGATGCAACTTCAGCAACTATTGGCCATGCCTAGCTGCTGTGTCATCACCAACTGCCTGTTATTTCTCCCATTACTGGATAATTTTCAAGAGGCCTTGGGCTCCATAGACATCCCTCAGGCACAAGTAATACAACTCCCACTACAACAGTGTCCTGCAAAGTCAAATCATATTTCTTTAGGCATGTGCTGTCTAACTGGATCCATCAGTAGCATCAGTCCTACACTGAAGTTTCTTCTGTTACAGTAGGTTAACTGTACTGCTCTCTTTCCCATTATGGTTTAGATCACAACAGTTATCTTTCCTAAAGGAAAGGACATACATCCCTGTATTGCTGTAGTTCACGATGCTATAGGCATTTAAATCATTTGGGAGATGCAAAGGTACCGCTTCTGCATACAGCACGCACGCACACACACACACAAACCCACTGTCACATTTCTATTGCTATTGCTTAGGTTCCTACTGCTGCAGTAAAGTCAGCAAGGGATTAAATGAGTGAGCTATAGATAGTTCCATTACTGCATTCCACTGTGAAAATCTTTGGCAAGATCTATCCTATGCAGCCACCGTATTGTCCACAAATGAACAATATGTTTTATATGGTTGTCTAACAGATCTGAATTATGAGTTTAACATTAAGGTATTTTGATATAAGACTATGATGAGAAGCCATTTAAAACATCAGTGATGGAAGGGACAGAAAGGGTGATTTTATCTGTTAGGACTTCTGGGGGGCAGACTATGGGAAAAATCTGTGACCATCAGCAACTTCTGCTGATCGTGTCCCCTGGTTTCAGGGTTTCCTAGGAAATCAAATCATTATCCTAGATTTAAATTCATTCAAAATTGTCTAGGTTAGCAAATCAATTATGCTGGGGTTCTTCAAAAGGTTAAAAAACACAGAGCCATTGAATAAGTTATGTTTGCTGAGTTTATCTTGGATTATCTTGTGTCTCTACTGTTAACACCAACGTAAACATTTAGGCATCAAAAATGAATCAGAAATGTGTATGGATAAATCAGATTGTGGGACACTTTTAAAAACAAATTCAAACTTTATTCTGAAAAGACAGCAACTCCAAATTTTCAGAGCTTTTAAAAATGTTACCTACCTTTGTGTCAAAGTTGCAATCAAGTCTTCTGATTAATACAATAAATGTGCGGGAAGAATTGTCTTTCAGGGGCGGAGGAGTTATGGGTTCACAGGCATTCTCAGGTTTTGAATTTATCAGAAAACCCTGGAAAAAACAGTTTCCAAGCACAACATCAGTTATTAGGTACATCACACAGGCATAGGAGAAGGTACAAGACCCATATTTTCTAATTCCAGTACAAATTATGAAAATTCTCACCCAATCTGTGGCCAGCAAAAACAATTTGCATAACTTAGCTCTGGTCAACTTGCTGAAGTCTTTCACGCTGGTTATTTCAAAGCTGGGTTCACTTTTCTCCTTCATGTTTTGCTAGTAAAAATTCATGTCATGATAAACCAGCTAATCTGTACAGTTCCACAGCATTTTAGATTTCCTACTGCCAGAAGCACAGCTACTCTTAAAGAATTTATATTGGTTTCTTCAGAAAGATTTTCTCCTACAACTCTGCATTCCTTCCCAGTGTTAAAAGAACTACCATATTAACAGAGTCTTCCTCCTCTTGCAGAGCGACTCTGGGATTCATTCAGCTCTATTTGTTGACACAGATCTGATGAGGCAGGCCTATACCAGCTTTTAAATTGCCCAGATTTTTTCTTTGTTAGGGAAGAGAACAAGATTGTTATCTCAGCTAGAGGGAAGAGAATGTTAGTTTCAGATGACAGTGTTTAGATTCTTTTTCACTGTAGTGACAGGAAGAGGAATTACTGACAGCGGGGGAGGATCCAGCCTGGTAACAGTAAGAGAGCTTCGATATCGGCAGAATTTCCCATCTTACGGCTAAAGTTTCCCTAGTTATGTCTTTTCCAAAGGCAGAAGTCTTATTTCTGAAGAGCTAATCTCTACTGCTCATTTCTCTCTGTGACTTTCTATCATGAACTGTTATCTGTACTCGCGATGTTTTAGGAAACAAACAGGACCTCGCATTACAAATCAGGACCTCGCATTACAAATCTGTCAGAGCTTTGAGACTGAAGTTGTCAGCGGTTTATGCCTTCCTAGACATATTTCCAGGTCACCACATATTAAGGTCAAAAGAAAGTTTCTTCGAACAACAGTACCTTCATGGCTCTGGGGCTGCTAAAAAGAGAGGAGAGTCCAGGCTCTCCCCGGGAGCCCTATTTCGACAACAGTCCTTTGCACATCATCAATAAATCGGAAGCTATATGCCACTACTACACTACCACCTCTGAATCTGACAAATGATCTTAACTACATTTCAGGCACTGCATTCTGCATTTGTTCTCTGCTAATATAAGTATTTTAACAATATTTCTTCAAATGGTAATCTCTGCCATTATGAACGCTTATGAACAGTTGGAAACTTTGTTAGCAGTTTATCTTCCTGTGTTTGGAATGCCTAGAATGTAAGCATCACTCTTTTTTTAAAAAGGTACCTGCTGCATGTATGGCTGAGCACATATTGCTTGGCTCACAATGTCTGTATTTGTATTGTCAGAGAAGCTATTATGGCGCCCTCCGGTGGACGAAACTTGGAAGTTTAGTAACATGCTGAAAAAAGGAAGATGGCTCGGTGCACTACAGATTTAAATTCTGTTTATCCAAAATAAAGAAATAATCCTTTGCAGGCCTGACCCAGCTCCAGAAGAGGGCAGGAGAAACAGAAAATGAGTTCACTGGTATGAATGGTGGCATCTGGAGAGAAAAAGGCCAACACTTACGATGGAGAGAGACCCTAAAAATTCTCTCTTTTCAGTTACATGTATGGAGCTATTAGTGACTTATTTGATAACCCAAGTTATTATACAACCAGGAAAGTGTCCCTGCAGCACTAATCAATTATGGATCCTCTCATGAAGTATCTTCACTTGGATACAAGATTCTTTCTTAAGATTCCTGTTGCCCTCTTATGGGGAAGGCAGGGGGTAACAGAATAAAATAAACACTTACCTATTCCCATGAGACTATATTAATTTTTTTAAGTAAACTGTTATAGTCTGGTTTTTTTATTGGTTAGTTCTCTAGAGAAGAACATTTTAAAAATTAGTTTTAGTTTTAATTGCATGACCTCGCTCATTTTTTTGCACTTTTGCACATGGGTTGTTGAAATTTAGAGATGCCATCAGATTCCACTTAATTTACTTCCCACAGATGAAAGCCATGCTCATTTGCCCACTGGGTAACAGAACTGCTTTTCACATACATTAAGGCATGAACAAACAAATTGAACTTCACCTATATTAGGCATGAACAAACTAAACTTCAGTTACTGATTCAGGTCTATTTTAAGCATGCTTTTGTTCTCAAGGGTAAAAAACATCAAATTAATTTGTCAAAAGCAAACAGAGTGTATCAGTGATGTGTTAGCAGTAAATTATTGTGATGTAAGTTTATCGGCCACAGACATCAGGTGAAGAAGAACCTGAATTTCATACAAGTGTCTGAGTTCAAAAGAGATTAAAATCTTCTTTAGATGCCAAGGTATAGTGTAACTTGTAATGACAACTTGTGGAGTATAACTGAGTTATGTTTCCAGATCTACTTTACCTGGGCATTAATCCAACAAAGCACTCAAGTGTGTTCTTAAACATATGCAGTCTCATGAAAGCCGTGCTTAAAGTTAAGTATACGGTAAAGTGCTTTGTTGGAGTGGAGCCTGCCAATTGTACAATGTCTTAAAGACAGAATTCCACTAATGAAGTAGCTCAGAGCAAAAAAAAAGTCTCATCACCCATGTAGGAGACGGAGGCAGAAAGATGGTAGAATTGCCTGGTCCACTTATGACCGTGGATGAGGGGATAATGAAGGTTAGTATTTTGCAATGTTCTTCAATGTAAACTTCCCTGCAAATAGGAAACCACCCCAACAAGCAAAGAGGAGGACGGTAGAAGAAGGCCCTCTGCTGTGCGAGGTTTCCATCTACACGGGAAATTTTTATGTGAAAGAACATTCATAGCTGGAATCCACCACTTGCAGTCCATTCTACTGTCTAATTCTCCAGCATGTGCAAACCAGACCTAAGTGTTACGGATCAGCCACTCTGAAACAGTATGACTGCATCTGACTTTATGACAGTACAAATCATTTCTTTTAAAACAAAAACACTGTGTGTGTGTACTCCAATGTGATCACAAAGCTCTCGCATACAGCCAGGGCTTTTTCCCCTAGGGGAACACACAGTTATAACACACTGAAAACTTCATTTCCCTCTTGAGATTTCTGGTACCACTTTTTCTTTAAAAAACAAAAAACAAAAAAGCCCTGGATAAAACCATGCTTCAGAAACAGAGAAAATGACTCCTGCATGCATTTTCCTATAGGTCTGGGCATTCCTATGAAGTTGCAAACTCACGTCCAGTCTTCTAGATAGGCAGACTTTCAGCCATTCAATGCATGCAATACAAAGGAGCTGTCGGTTTTTTCCATTCCATATTCCAAAGTTTGCTCCATTTACAGTGGGGTCAAGACATGCAGCAGAACTTGCCATCTCTCTCTCTCTCTCTCTCTCTCTCTCTCTCTCTCTCTCTCTTCTCTCTCTCTCTCTCTCTCACACACACACACACACACACACACACACACACACACACACACACACAAAAAATAGTGCTGAACAATGCTGAAAGCAAGGAAATAGCATTTGGCTGCCTGGCTGTGCATCGTTGCAATCAAGTTGGACTGATTTTATAGGTAGAGTTCGTTTGCTGCTCCCACCCTTAATACCCCCAATTTGTTTTTATCAATTTTAAGCTGTTGCTTTAAATTAAAAAAAAAAAATCTAGAGGAAACAAAAATCACATTACTGCAACTGTATTTCCAACCACCTTCCTGGCTGCTAGTCACAGGACACAACTCTTATCAGATGTCTATATTTCAGATTTGTCCTCACTTTGTTTTAATAATGATTTTAAATTAAATAAATATAGTACCTCAGCTGCTGAGGTTTGCAAAATTTTGCTGGGCACTAAAGATTTATCATTCATATTGTGCCACTAATGGAACCACAATGTGGTGTTTCTAAGAAGCATTTATTACATTTAACCTTGAAATAATGACTGCTGGAGCTTGCAGCAATTATATTAGCAGGCAGATCTAAGCCAATGTCTAGAGAAGCCAGGGACTCCTCGAACGTATTACATTACAAATGCAGGTACAGCATACCAATGCTTATTCCTGCTGTTAAATATTGTGTATTGGTACTTGAAGGATACAGACAGTTATTACAAACACACACACTGTAGTATCAAGTTTTTTTAAAAAAAAAAGATAAAGTTTTGCATGTTATTGGCAGTTCAGCTGTAGGTTACACATAAAGCTGTGGAGGATCAGCCCTCTGGGATATCTTGCCATAATATCTGCACTACACACTGAAAGAACAACCAGAACATTGCCTTTGAAGGTGCTTGCAAAGGCAGTCTGCATTACCTCTCACTGTTCTCTGCCCCGAGAGAAGTGCGGCTGAGGAGAATGTATATTCTACTCTGCTCATGGCTACCAAGAACAAGCTGGTTCACAGGGGTTTGATCAGAAAACGCACCACCTCATTGTTGGATATGGCCTTACATCTCCTGCACAAATCTAAAAGCTCTAGCTGTAGAATTCTGAAACAATTTGTAGATGACAGCAAGAGACAGATTGTGAACACAAAACAAATTTATCTAGGGGCAATGGGGAATCTAGGAGTAATTGATTATATAAAAATACCTATAACATGCTAAGAATGGTTAGTTTAATGAAGATACATAGAACTAACCACAAAACAGACCTCAGACAGCAGATCATAAAACAGCTGGAAAGATAAAAGCCCCTAATTAAAAGCCTAGATTTTTCCTCAAACAGAACTTTTGGAAACTTGATTGTCATGCAAAGCACAGGTTCTCAGCTACAACTCAGAATTATTAAATTATTTTACTCTTCCAAAAGAGGAAGTCCTAAAATTGTGAATCTCTCTGCAGGATTTACAGCTAATGTCCTGAGAGTTAAATATATGTACATGTTAGCTGCAGGAGTCAACTGCTTCCCAACAGAGACGGTGTCTTTGGGCAGAAATTCAGCAGGTGAAGCTCTTCCCAAGCAAACTGCATTTCAAACGGCTGTACTGCCTGCTTGATCTGCAGAGTCGCTGTTCAGAAACAGTAAGAACACTACCACTTCCAAACTAATATACATTAAATACTCACAAGGCTTCAGGTTAAACATTTAATTACCCCTATTTTTTTTTCTCGCTGTCACTTACCTTTAAGCCTTCTGAGGGCAACCTGTAACCAAACCTTGCTGGCAGGTCATCAAATGTCCGTGATGTATTTTCAAAGTTATACTGTATAGAAAAGAAACACAAGTCAGATCTGAAACTGCATCTTATGTACCAGCATAGAAGATGATTGTACGAAATCATTAACATACAGTTGGGAACATAAACAGCATTCGCCAGACTCCCAACATGTGATTCCTCCAACACTCAGTAGCATCCTATTCCTATCTGATCTCAGGAAGAACAAATTATTATGCCTAAGAATGTACCTTCTTGCCCAAGGGGCTTACGAGGCCTAATGGTGTTCTTTGACTCACCTACTGACCTGTTTTCATTTCAGTTCCTCACACAGCTCAATCACGTTAAAATCCCCATGACTGCTCACACCCATAGATGTTTGGCATGACCTAAATTCTACAAAGTGTTGGGAAATGCTCTAATACCTTTTCAACACTATGAATTCTGATCTCACTGTAAAGAAAAAAAAACATTCTCTAATACAATAATGCCAACCCTGAGGGGGGGGGGGGGACCAGTCTAGACATGCCTTAACTATGAAGTGGTCTCAAGTGATACATCTTTTTTAAATCCCATCCCGCTCTCAATGCCTCAAGAAAACCAGAACTGTACAGAAGAAAACCTAGAATTGTACAGTACCTATTATTCTTTTCCCTAGGGTTGGCAGCTCTAGGTTGGGAAATACCTGGAGATTTTGGGGGGTATATATAGCCTGAAAAGGGTGGGGTTCGGGAAGGGGAGGGACTTTAAGGGGGTATATAATGGAGTCCACCTTCCAAAGCACCCATTTTCTCCATGCGAACTGATCTAAATTCCCTGGAGATCAGTTGTCATCCTGGGAGGTCTTCGGCCACCACTTGGAAGCTGGCAACCCTACTTTTACCCGTGACCTTTCCTCTGTCTCTGGCCACTCAATGAACAGCTTAAAATCCATTTGACAGGAAAGAAGAGGTAGCCGAAATCATATTGTCATACATCCATGGCAGGGAAGCTTTGCCATTAACAAAGGCTGCCAATAGGGCTGGAGAAAAAGTCCTGTCCCTTTAACAGAGACTTAAAGTGTAGAAATGGGTAGTTGAAGCATTTTGTGGTATGGAGGCAAATAGCATCACCAGGTAAATAATATTCACTTACGCCTCCAATAAAGGGACAAGACATATTTTCCCAGGCCGGTTAGCAACCCTAAAGGGGAATGGGAAGGGGGAACCTGGAAGTGAACTTCCTTGAAAAGCAAAAAGACGTACCCCACTGAGACTTTCTATCTTTTAAAAAAAATGTCTTGGCCTGAACTGGCAGTCAAAAAGAAGTGCCTCGTCACACGGTGCATAATCATAAAATCCACCGTCACTGCCAGTGTGACCCAGTTATTAGAGTGCTGGACTAAGATCGGGGAGGCCCAGGTTTAAATAGCCACTCTGCCATGGAAGCTCACTGGGTAACCCTCGGGCCCGTCATACACTCTCCGCCTACACTCAGGGGTGTTGTGAGGATAAAATGGAGGAGAGGAGTAAATGGAAGGAAGTAAATAAAGATGTAGATAATTCAATAAAGGTGTGGCAACGACCACTAGAGAAGGTTTTAAAAGGGCACCTCCCTGTCTGGAGATGTGTGTCACTACTACCAGTTGCTGGGGGGGGGGGGGCAGGGGGGGGGGGGGGGGGACAGCAGAGGAGGGGTGCTGTTGCCTTCTCCTGAGTTGCTTGTCCACTATGGGAAATAAGAGGCTGGACTAGATGGACCTCTGCTATGATCCAGTAGGTCCCTTGAGGTGTCATTATGATCTCTCATTGTCTGACTCTCTATAACCTGCAGTTGTTTAGTAGCGAGGCAAGCGTACGCTTCTCCATATCTCCAGTTTCATTCACAAGTCTCAGGGCTCAGCCTGGCATTAAAAACAAATCCTAGTGTTTTTTCACATGGGGTCAACAAATGAAGCTCAGGGCACGACACTTCCCCCCCCTTAGTGCTTTGTGCTTGTATTTTGAGTGTGACTGTGTATCCTCTGCTTCCTAGAAAGCAATAACCAAAGGACAGCATGCATGTTGAAGGAAACAGGGACATAACAATGATGACTAGTGAGATGGCAGGGCTGAAAGTATGTTTCCCACAATGCCCTGGGCAGGCAGGGTTCTGTGGATGCTGGCATCAACACACTGTAGGGTTGCCAGGTCCCTCCTGACCACCAGCAGGGGATGGGGGGGGGTAGGGTTGCCAGATCCAGGTTCAGAAACGCCTGGAGATTTGGGGATGGAGCCTGGGGAGGACAGAGACCTCAGCAGGGTACAATGTCATAGAGTCCAGCCTCCAAAGCATCAATTTTCTCCAGGGGGAGTGATCTCTGTAGTCTGGAGATGAGCTGTGATTCTGGGGGGAGGTGGGTGTCCCCAGTTCCCACCTAGAGGCTAGCATCCCAGAATGAACTGGACATTCAAGGAGAATTCTGAAAACGGTAGGTTAGGAAATCCAAAACAATCAGAAGCTTGCAAAGGAAGCCCTGAATGGTTCAAAACTTTACCTGCTAGGTCCCTTGTAAATAGTAACTTTGATATCAATGTATGTACCTGACAATTAAAAAGAAATATCTCAAACACTGTATAGGCCTTTCCAATGTAGCTACTTTGTGACTGAGATGCTTGATTTATTTCTATATTAAATAAAACCAATTTTCAAGTTCTACGTAGGGGTTAATTCATGCAATCTACCTGCCTTCTATGTAATCAGCTACTCTGTGATTTGATGGCAAAACCCATTATTACCTTAAAATACATTTGAATTGGTTTCCCGCGCAAGTATGTGGAAAAAGAAAATACAAATGTAGACAACTAGTCTACTGAAAATTGGCCGTGTTTTCATCTTCCCATCCCCCAAACTCAAGGTCACTTTTCATTCTTGATTTACCATCTCAAAGCCTGTTGAAAATTTCCGAACAAACCATAGGGAAATCATGTTCTTGTGCCATTTCATTTTAAAGGCCTAATTCCCTACAATACCTCTGAAACCACTATTTCTTTAGAAACAAAAAATTCACACACACGTCTTTTCACAATACTTACCGCTAAAATGTCTGCCTCCACAGGCAACAGGTTTAAGAAGGCAAACAGCTGAACTGTGAGAATGGTGTAAATCTGAGTGGCAGACAGCATTAGCATTCCTATTGACAGCAGCATTTTAATTAAATTCCTGCAAGAAATAAAAGAAAATCAGGACACACAGCAGAGATTTACACCCTGATCCAAAAGAAATATATAGCCGCTGGGGAGCACAAAATGTCTTGGGCCTACCTAACAACAGCAGCATCTTGTGAAAAGTAAACAAGGGAAAAGGAACCTGCTGTGATCGTTTTTATAACAGGATGGCAAACAGATAACTGATTTACTACAGCAAGCTGGGTGTTAGAAGTAGGTCATCATAATATGCTCAGCAGAAGATGAAGGTGCCGTACTCAGTCCTGCCCATCCTGCATCTTCCTTCTCCTCACTCCACTCATTTTATCTGTAGCTTCACATAAATTGCTTATCACCATTGCCAGTGATGAGTACCACTGCCCAACTCTTCTAAATTAATGGAGGTCTTAAGTTTCACACCAGCTCCACTGCAAACATGGAAACTGCAATAAAGTACTTGCATATCAGTCACTGTGCTTCAGCCCAGGTTCTCTTCTGCCAGGGGTGTACAGAAACAAGAACATCTGGACACACACGACCCAATCAGTTAAACAAGTATAAAGCCAACAGTCGTGATAGTCTGACCCACAATCAAACAGTCATAAGACTTATAAAGAATGCTTTATAACATATTTTCACTAAAAATATTTAAATAAGTGAGCATTTCTAATGTTCTGTGATAACCATGACAAATATATATGGTATAATCCCATATTTAACTTTATTATTCCACTCTATTACAAACATTTATATTGCTTGTTAAATTTATTAAATTGTATACTAACATCTTCAAGACTTCAGTGTGTACGTTAATTTAGACATAAATGCAGTTTTCTGTGACTAAGACATATTCTTTTAAATGACACAGCAATGTAACTATGGGATCTAACAGCAAACTGTATCCTGTAAGAGAATAAATAATATTCAGAATTCATTGCCACAAAGGCCAAGTAATAGGACTGGTCCAAAATATGCGTACAAGATCTGATCAACTGGAAGAACATCTCCAGTAAGAACTAGTAGATCCTGGACATATACATGGCAACATATTAGGCAATAAATATCAATTGTGTGTGTGTGTTTGCAAAATGTTCCCTTAGATCAGAAAATATTAAATTTGAGCTCACATTAGACCATAATAATTTCCATATTTCCACTGATATTTCTACTGATGACACTGAATTCCATCTTTTGATAAACAACAAAAATGTTTTTCTTTTTAATAGAAATGTTTCATAATATTCCTTTTTTTATTATAAAGCAAGATTTCAAACTCTGTCTCATCTCTAAGGCTGAATATGCCTTTTTATTGTCAAACACTTTCTAGGGTGGCCAGATGCAAGGAAGACAGTTTGGGTATCCTGAACAGTTGTACAAGAGAAGAAATTTTAGCAGGGGAAGCTTGTGATATAAAAACAGAAGAGCTGAAAGCAGAAGAGAACTCGCCTCTTCTGCATATCTCCCACTTTGCTGTTCTTTATCTTTTAAAAAAAGTGTTATTGACCAGGGCGCAATACAAGTATGGATTATGCCTATCAGTGGCTTAAATTCAGTTAGGCAGCTGTGTTGGTCTGAAGCAGCTGAACAAAGTTTATTCTGGGTATAAACTTACATGTTCATGCACAACTCAGAATAAAACTTCATTGGTCGTAAAGGTGCGACTGGACTCAAACTTTGTTCAGCGGCTATTATGTTGTAGGCATGATGGCCTTCACCCACCTTCTAGATTAGGAATTTTGGTGAAAACTATGGTGAAAACCAATTCAGCACTGGATAGGATAATATGAATTTTTGAAAGGATCGCTACCATGAAATCTACCAAGTTGTGATAGATTTCAGCTAACAGGAAACTGGTCTCTCACCTATGAAGGCATCATATTCTGGCCACACCAACAAAGCAGCTATCCTGCCTGTAGAAAAAGCTCCATGTCAGAGTTTGCCTTTGCGGCAGAGTACTGCACTGGCTCAAGTGGTTAAGACGCTGAACTGCAGGCTGTGGAAGGTCAGTAGTTCAGCAGTTCAAAGACCCGAGTTGCCACATGACGGAGTGAGCTCCCGTCTCTAGTTCCAGCCAATGTTCCCTCTAAGCTGTGGAGTCTTGTGAGCAAAAAGTCTGCTTTGTGAGCTACCCGTATTAAAGTTGTGAGCAAGTGATTTGGCTACTGCATAAATTAGTTAGCTCTGGAGCCATCCTTCCTGAGCTAAGACAAAAATGTGTGAGCCAGAGGCTAAAAAACTGTGAGCTAGCTCACACCAATTCAGCTTAGAGGGAACACTGGTTCCAGCTCCTGCCAACCTAGCAGTTCAAAAGCAAGAAATTGCAAGTAGATAAATAGGGACCACTTCGGTGGAAAGGTAACAGCGTTTCGTGCGCCTTGGTGTTTAGTCATGCCGGCCACATGACCACAGAAACCTCTTCGGACAGCGCTGGCTCTTCAGCTTTAAAACGGAGAACCGCAACCCTAGAGTCGGACTCGACTGGCTTTCGAGCAAGGGAACCTTTACCTTTACTGCACTGGAAGAACAGAATCTGAACAAACTATGCAATGTGCATTTATGAATTGCTGGTCCAGGGGACAGCCTAACCGCTGTATCTGAGGTGCTGAAGTTACCATTACACCAGCTACCACCACAAGCAGCACACAGGATCTTAAGCCTGATGCCCCAAGTCAATATCTCCTTTATTTCCCTCTGCCCTCTAACTCCTGTGGATCTTTTCAACCTGATGAAATTATCTACTGAACAAATATTGGGAGCATCTCACAGCCACTTTTGTATCTTCTTATGCTTGGGATTTGTCTGTTAAAGTAGGACAAGCTAGCACAGAAAGACAAACAGAAACCCAGCTTATCTTCAAGCCCCAGAAAGCTGCCTCTGGAAGACAGATAAAACCTAACACAAATTATATTCTTCTCAAACACTTCTGCGAGTCAGTTTTCTAAATCTTTAAACCATGTCTCTGGTTCCGTGGCACTAAAATTAGTAACACTATGGTTGGTAGTAGTCTTCACTAACCACACCAGCAATGCCAAACACAAATAAAGCAGTAGTTGAATGACTCCATGTCATATCTAAATCTCCCGTAATTTGGCTACTACAACCAGAAAACTAATATCCAGAAACAACATAAAAACAGAGAATTGAAATCACATGAATCTGGATAATACAGCAATTCTCTATGAAGAGACTGCTGATGTTATGAATATCTGCTGCCAGTTTCAGCACAGACTGTTTTGGAAATAAAAAAGAAAGAAGGAAAGAGGAAGAGATATAAGAGCTGGGCTGGGGATTAAAGAATGTTCCATCAATATAATGAGGCATATGTTATTTTTGCACTATCATATCTATAGCAGCCATTTAAATTTAAGGCAAATTAACATTTAACCATGGCTACTATTCATTTTACAAGGAAGACCTTTGTTATGCTTTCTTTTTCTTTTATTTGGTAGACATGACATAGAATATTCTCTGTTACACTGATACTTTAATCTCCTTGGGGGAGGGACTTGACTTCTTGTGCACACTGCACCATGCACACTGGTAACAAAACATTATTACAGTAACACGTCAACACAGAAAAGTTCAAATGCCACTAGAGATGAAGGCCTGGGAAGAAAACCGAGAAAAAATTGGAAACTTGGGGAGTACTAATGAAAATCCAGTAAAATATTTCTCTTTTGGAATAAGTGAAATACTTTTTAACACCAGGCATGATGGTAGTCCTGTCTATTTGTGACTGCATGAGACTGTCTAAATAATATGTTTTACAGGGGTGTTGAACTCATTTGTTATGAAGGCCAGATTTGACATAAATTGGACTTTGTAGGGCTGGGCCATGTGTGTCATAAAATGTAATGCCAGGTAGCAGAGATATAGTGATAAAGGACACACAGACAAACACAATTAGAGATATTATAGCAGCTATTCCATTGGAGCTCCACATTAGGACGGTAGGTGTGTTAAAACTAATATTTCTCTGCAAAACTGAAGTTCTTTTAGTTTGCTGAACTCTATATTTTTTTTTACAGTGGTTAGTTCCAAACCTCACCCCCTAAAAATATAAACTACAAATATGAATCGTCTGAGCCTAGGACCCAGGGGAAGAACATGAAATGGCTGAGCATTGCAAGCTTCTCTCCATCCCCCCCCACCCCCACCCCCCAGGTCTACCCAGAGTGACAGTGGCTCTCCAGGGTCTCAGGGTTTTTTTTTACAGGGTGGTTTGAGATAAATTATTGTTAATTAAATTATTATTGTTAATGACATCTGGAGGATTGTATTGGTTAGCACTTTTTAATACTGTATTGTTTTATTGTTTTGTGATTTTACGGTTTTAAATTTATTGTGGTTTTAAATTTTTGGAAGCTGCCCTGAGCCGGCTATTGCTGGGAGGGCAGGGTATAAGTTTAATAAAAAAAATTTAAAAATAATTTTGGGTGTCTTCTTCAGCACTTGATTTGCTATTATTCCACAGGAGCTCCACATTAGGAGGGTGTGTGTGTGTGTTAAGACTAATATTTCTCTGCAAAACTGGAGTCCCTTGAATTTGCAGAACAATATATTTTAACCCTGGCTGGTCCCAACCCCCCCCCCCTTAAAACGTGCCTGCCTAAATTGGGAAGGTGGACTTATAGTGGGATTTTGCAAAGCAAGTTTTGAAATAAAAAGAAGCACAAGGATCACAGCAGAAGGACGCCTCCCCCAGCTCCCACCTGTGAGGAGGACTATGGAGGCCAGAGCGGTGGCTGGGAAGTTTGGCAGTCCCGGCCTCTGCTTCCTGCACTCAGAGGGAGTCCTGCCCTCTGCTCGTTATACTCCAAGGCAGCTCAAACTCAGAACAGAGAGGATGGGCAGGGGAAGGAGGAGAGAAGAGAGCTCCACTCCTGGGCTGGATTAAAGGCCTGGGTGAGCCAGTTCCAGCCCATGGGCCATAGGCTTGACACTTCTACCTTACTACAAAATTTATTTTCTAATTTCAGGAGGGGGCCCCTCTCACCACCTCAGGGAGCCCATTCC